GACACCTTCTCACCAATCTTCCTCTTCCACCCAAAGGAAGCCATTTCGGAAAGCTTTTGGAAAAGAAGGTAATTTCAACCATTGGCACCATTTTGTTTTAACACAAACCATAACAAATGACAACTGAAATTAGTTGTGACAGAGGTTAACTTGCTCAAAAGGGACTGATTTGTACAAATGAATTCTGGCCATGATGTGACTTCCACATCAGCCTTGCAAACTTTAAAGACTTGTTGAAAGAGGAAGGTCTTCAATAGGCATCAATAATAACATTAGGAATACAGTGGTACCTCGGGCTACATGCGCTTCAGGTTACATACGCTTCAGGTTACAGACTCTGCTAACCCAGAAATAGTACCTTGGGTTAAGAACTTTGCTTCAGGATGACAACAGAAATCATGTGGCAGAGGCGCTGCGGCAGCAGGAGGCCCCATTAGCTAAAGTGGTGCTTCAGGTTAAGAACAGTTTCAGGTTAAGAACGGACCTCTGGAACGAATTAAGTACATAACCAGAGGTATCACTGTAATGATAATAATAATAATAATGATAATGAATAATAATAATAATGGCAGCAGAGGTATTGCCCCATCTAATAATTAATGGGAGGGAATTCCAAAGGCTAGGTTCCATCAAATGTAATAATAATTGTGACTATTACAAGGATATTTGGGCCACCTTTCAAGCAAAGGCTGAAAGGGTGAGGGAAAGATCTACATCAGGAACAAGGGGGTAGGGAAAGGAAGACCAACACTGGGATTGCCTGGGGGTCCTGCCACCCAAGGCAGTCGCCTCACCTTACCTCATGGGTGGGCCAGCCCTGCCCCTACAATACAGCAATACAGTGGCAGTGAAGTATCAGTAAATGGCAATGGCTATTATGGGGTGGGGTGAGGGAAAAGAAGCCTCCAAACTTCCACTGCCTCCTCAACCTCCCTCACAGAAACTAAACCAGAGACGAAAAGTGGAAGACTTAGGAAGGCGCTTCTCTCCTTCAGGAGTCAGAGAACAAGGTGCTCGGGCAGCCATTTCTCCCTTGAGAATATTCTATCCACGTTGAATTGCCTTTTTTAATGACACCCCGCCTCGCCCCCAAACCGCGCGCGCCCCCTATGCTTTCAGCGGTTCTTATCCGTAAGCCGCCTTGAGTCCCTGTCAAGGAAAAAGGCGGGTATAAATAAATAATAATAATAATAATACAGGGGGAGGAGCGGAGGCATAATCCCCAACTGAAGAGGGGAGGCGATATTTACCTGGAGCCCCCTCCCCTCTCCAGCTCTGTCACAGTCCGAGCCGGGTCACATCTGTTTTTTCAGCTCCCCGGAAGCGGGGGAGGGAAGAACCGGAAGTAGTCGCGCTCAGCCGGTTTGGGAAACCAGTGTCTATGGAAGTCCACTTCCGGTCTAGAGAGCGTTCGCTCTCCCCTGACGGTCTTTTGCCGCAAGGGCTTCTAACGCGACTCTCTCCCTCCCTCTCAGGGCCGGGAGAGACCATAAAGATTTCCATGGTAGAGCGGCGCCGCTCGACCTTCGCCGTTGCATGTTTTATTTACCTTCCTAACTCTACAGGAGCGGGCGGAACTGAGAATTCCACTCTTCCGCCCATGAGCATGCTGGGTGTTGTAGTTCAAGGAAGGCAGCAGCGCCCTGATGCGCCAGTGGGTGTTTGATGGGATTGTTGTTGTTTAGTCGTGTCCGACTCTTCGTGACCCCATGGACCAGAGCACGCCAGGCACTCCTGTCTTCCGCTGCCTCCCGCAGCTTGGTCAAACTCACGATAGTAGCTTCGAGAACACTGTCCAACCAGAATAAATAATAATAATAATAATAATAATAATAATAATAATAATAATAATAATAATAATAATAATTTTTTATTTATACCCGGCCCATCTGGCTGGGTCCCCGCAGCCACTATGAGCAGCTTCCAACAAAACACTAAAAGGCAATAACCTATTAAACATTAAAAGCTTCCCTAAACAGGGCTGCCTTTAGATGTCTTCTAAAAGTCTGGTAGTTGTTTTTCTCTTTGACGTCTGGTGGGGGGCGTCCACAGGGCGGGCGCCAGGTCGCCACTACCGAGAAGGCTGGTGTTATATGGTCTCGGCGGCCGCTCGGCGGTCTAGCTGCCGCATTCTGGATTCAGTTGTAGTTTCCGGGTCACCTTCAAAGGTAGCCCCACATAGAGTGCATTGCAGTAGTCCAACCATCTCTTCCTCTGTCGTCCCCTTCTCCTTGTGCCCTCAATCTTTCCCAACATCACAGTCTTTTCCAGTCTTCTCTTCTCATGAGGTGGCTAAAGTATTGGAGCCTCAGCTTCAGGATCTGTCCTTCCAGTGAGCACTCAGGGCTGATTTCCTTAAGAATGGATAGGTTTCCAACCCCAACCTCTCTCACCACCAAAGGAACACAAGTCATAGCTGTCAACTTTCAGATTTGAAAATAAGGGATCAGCAGCCTCAAATATAAGCAATCAGCAGCCTCACCTTTCCCGGGGACAGTCTACAGGATATCTAACAATCCAGGATAGCAGCGGGAAACGGTGCTGGAATAAGGGAATTTCCCGCAAAAAAAGGGAAGGTTGACAGCTATGACACAAGTGAAAAGCAAAGAACCTGTACAAGCAAGGCTGACACAAAACCCCACATATATTAAGTAAAATAGAAACATCGCCACCCGACCCCACCCCCACTCACCTCTCTCCCCCTTTTCTTCCTAACGTCTCAACAAACAAAACTGATGTGCAAAAAATGTTACTTAAAAAGAGAGAAAGACATTGCACATGCTTTTGTAGACCAAGAAAATCCTTAGTAAAAATACATCTTAAAAAAAGAATGGATAGGTTTGATCTTGCAGTCCATGGGACTCTCGAGAGTCTCACTGCCTTGTCGTGGCGAAGGGGCTTGAATAACTCGGAGAAGCTATGAGCTATGCCCTGCAGGGCCACCCAAGACGGACAGGTCATAGTGGAGAGTTTTGACTAAACGTGATCCACCTGGAGCAGGAACCGACAAGCCACTCCAGTATCCCTGCCAAGAAAACTCCATGGACAAAGACAACAGGCTTGATGGATGCTACAAAAAAGGGGTTATGCGCACACCAGATATCTGGCCTGGGGACAGTGGAAACACATCAATATATGCAACCACGCTGATCTTAACCTTCTGAAATCATGTGCTCTCTGAAAAACTTTACTCACTTATTGTGAAAGGGAAGGTTTTTTTTTACAACTGATTTTAAACTGCAATGCTATCTCTAACAGGTTGTGTTGCTTTGAGTTACATTGACTTTTTACAAATGCTACTAATAAATAATTCATTTATACATTTATATTCTGCACGATTCAGCACAAATGCTCTCAAGGCGGGCAATATAAAGGATGCACCTAAACCATGGGTAGGCAAGCTAAGGCCCGGGAGCCGGATCTGGCCCAATTGCCTTCTAAATCCAGCCCGTGGACGGTTTGGGAATCACTGTGTTTTAACATGAGTAGAATGTGTCCTTTTATTTAAAATGCACCTCTGGGTTATTTGTGGGGCCTGGCTGGTGTTTTTACATGAGTAGAATGTGTGCTTTTATTTAAAATGCATATCTGGGTTATTTGTGGAGCATAGGAATTCCTTTTTTTCTTTTTTTCAAAATATAGTCCGCCCCCCCCCCCCAAGGTCTGAGGCACAGTGAACCGGCCCCCTGCTGAAAAGGTTTGCTGACCCCTGACTGAAATGGCAGCACATCTTCTGGTTGCACAATGTTTCACGCCACCTCACTTGGTTTCATAAACCCATCCCCTAGAATATACTGATCGCAACAGCAATAATGGATATTCTTCAGGGAAGCTTGTCTGGCGTTATTAATGTCCTCATTAAAGAATCTGACAAATGTCTAGAAACCCAGCAAATGCTCAGGAACAGTTGAAATAAATGGCTACTGTTGCACTTATTTAATAGCCATTTGTGATTTTTTAAAATAGTTTTTATATGAACTCAGTATAACTACCACATTCTACTTATTGTTAACTATATTGTTGTAAGGGCTGTTCAGATATTGCTGTACTGATAATTTCTGATTCGCTGCTTTGGGCTTTTGGGAAAGAAAAGCACATGGTGGATATTAAGCAGAAGTGAAGTGGAACTCCACTGGTGTAGTTTTTATACTTTTACCACTTTTGTAAGCCTGAAATCAAGTTTAACAGCTTCCCAAAGGGTTAAGATGTCAATGTAGACTATAGAGATGAAGAAAGCCAGAATGGTTATTGAAATTAGCCGAATATGCAATGTTAGTCAAATTAACCGAAAAATTGACCGACAACTCAAAACAAGTCTTTATTGCAAAACATTTCTTAAGAAACAACTGTGGTAGTCTGAATTCAGTTGCTGGCTTTGAATAACCTCTGTAGCTGTACTAAGTAAAAAATAATGATACAGTGGTGCCTCGCAAGACGAAATTAATCCGTTCCGCGAGTCTCTTCGTGTTGCGGTTTTTTCATCTTGCGAAGCACGGCTATTAGCGGCTTAGCGGCTATTAATGGCTTAGCGGCTATTAGCAGCTATTATCGGCTTAGCGGCTTTAAGAAAAAGGAAACAAACTCGCAAGAAGTTTCGACTTGCGAAGCAAGCCCATAGGGAAATTCGTTTTGCAGAACGACTCAAAAAACGGAAAACCCTTTCGTCTAGCGAGTTTTTCGTCTTGCGAGGCATTCGTCTTGCGGGGCACCACTGTATAGAAGAAATAATACTTTATTATAGAATGAGGGGATAGGTTTATGCAAAAAGTTAAAGAACAAGAAATGAACTATGGAGAAAACGGAAAGTTAGAAGTATTTTAAGAAAATTTACTGTCAAGTATATGAACCTATTTTTTCTTTTTTGGTGACTTTGTACTTGTGTGGTAAATGATGTAAATGATTTTCTTTTTTGTGTTTTGTTGATGCGTAAGCATAATAAAGCATTATATATATAAAAGAAAGAAAGCCAGAACACCGTGCACACAAATACATTTCACAGATTTACTTGCATACAATTTAATGTTTATTAAAAGTAACAAGTCATATACAGCTATCACAAGCATTTTTGTTTCATTCAGTATTGCCGAAAAAGAAAAAAGAAATCCGCAATAGAAGTAGGCACATCTTGTTTGTAAGAGAAGGTGGTCATCCATGTCATAAGCTATACAATGGTAAAATCAATTGACAAAAGAAAGTATCTCAAAAGCTTGTACTGAAACACATAAAATGTCAGAACACATACGAAAGTTGGTCTTTTGAAAATATTGCACCACAAAGATGGACTTCTACCCTCTCACCAGTGTTAAATTACATTGCACGTGGACAGTTTTATACACACACACACACCTCGCAACTGATTATGAATTTCAGTAAAAACAAATCATTTGACGGTACTTGGCCAATTAACATGATGCTCCCTATTGACTTTATTTTTGAAGTTGCTGTTGAGAAAGCCCTTTTTTTCCTTCACAGTTCCATGGCTGTCTCTTTTACAAAGCAGTTCCTCTTGTTGCATGACCATCTATTGCCCTATCCTAACATACCACTAAGAAAAGTCAACTGTAAGGTGACCTCACAGGGTCACACAAAAAAGAAGTAATTACAACATCAATATTTTACTGTAAGTGTAAAAAAAACACACACTATGAAAAAGGGTTGTTTTTTGCTTGAATAATACACACTGGATAGCCTGCACTTTGGGGAGGCAGGGGAAAGTTATTTTTAAAAGAATGGAATAGAAGGAGAATGTTTCATGGCCAAAAACTATTTTTTTTAAAAAAAAATTTAAAACTGGCCATTTAAGATTAAATAACGGTACCCTTCTGCTATGTATTTAGTCCTAGGGACCATGATAATATAAAGGATGTATCCAACCAAGTTAAATTTGGGAACAGACCCATTAGAATTAAAGGCCCCAAATTAATGCCCATTAACTTCAATGGTTCTGCTTTATGTAAGAATTAACACTGGATACAACCCGGTAGCACAAAACCAAAAATGACATATATTGTTCCCAGTGCAAAGACAGATGTTGCTGGCATATATCTTCCCAGTCCCATCCCTCTCAATGGAGCTTGTATAGGAGTCTCACTGAAGCTGTAGTCCTAACGCAAGCAGAATTAGGAATAAGCCCCATTGAACTGAGTGGGACTTCCACAGAAACATGCATACAATTGGGCTGCATATCCCACAGAGATAAGACAGGACGATGTGCAGCAGCGATGCTTATGGCTTGTGCCCACTATTGTCTGACGTTGGCCAAAGAGAGCTTTCGGGTTGGTTTCTGAACACATCCTAGGAAAGCTACCCAGCAAATAAAGGGGCGGGGAAGAGCGTGTTCATATCATTTTGCCAAGTGCACTATTAACAACAACAAAAATAAAATCACAATTACTGAATAGGTGCAGCAGAACTAGACATAAAAGGTATTTATATAAAAGGTAGGACTGTTGCTTGGTCCCCCAAGACAACCTCTCTCTCTCTTACGGCATCGCAGCAGCAGTACATACCCCTTGTTCCTTTAAAGCCCCCTCCCTTCTGACCACACACACACACACACACACACACTTTCTCTCCTTTGGGAGGACAAATTACAGATCGCTGCTCAAGTTCCACTCTAAAGACATTGCTGCATTCTGGAAAGTTATGTCACTGTTTGAAAATAGGCGGAAAATGTGATGTAAGAAGACCACTCGATGTATCTGGCTCTGAAAGACCAGGGCACGGCAAGATTCCCAAGTAGCTGGAGTTTATGGGCTTTTGACACCATAATAAGCCATGCAATGGTCCAACTTCCTTCTAGTTAAACTACCGACAGTCGACAGTGCGTGAATTCATGCAGCAGATGTGAGCTTAAGCAGCTGCATGTTTATTCTAACTCAGTGCATATTCAAGCGCAGATATTGACTATGTTGGGACAATCATTACCTTGGTTTAAAGGCAAGCTGTGAACAAGTGTTACAAAGCCCCTTCGCATTAGCTAGCAAGGAAATCAGGAAGCTTTCCATTAAGTATAGTTTCCCATTTTGTCCTAATTGGAAAAGTACGGATAACCCAACAGGCCAGGTATTAAACCACTGCTTAAATTTGGTTGAAAATAGTGCCTTGTTCTGAAGCTGTTAACCATGGTTTCTCTGTTCATACAAAACAGGAAACTATAATTAATTGAAGGCTTCTCGTTTGGTTTGTTCCTATCACAAAGCAAGGAATGAAGAGGCAGCATAAAAGGCTTGTTCATATCTCAGCTCATTACGCTGAGAAATTATTGTTATAAATTCTCCCATTAGCAGATCCAGATTAATAATATATCAGCTCAAACAGGATTGTTCCCTTCGGTGGTTTTCTATTTATTGCTGGCACAATTCATTTGGAAGATTACCACCAAAATGAATGAATAAGAGATCCGTTTTCTGTGATCTGCAGGTACTGTGCAGCAAACATAACACTTAACATGGTTGTGTTTTCCTTAACTGTCTGAACACTTAAATCATACTTAACCAACTTGATGCCCTTTGGGTGTTGTTATCGACTCCAAATCCCATCGCCCCCAGCCAGGAGACAATGGTCAGAGATAATAAAGTCATAGTACAATAACATCTGAAAGGACACCAGTTTGGGGAAGGCTGACCTAAATCATGGTTAAGGATCGGCTACAAACTAAGGTGCAAAAACAGTTTGCGTTAACCATGGTGAAAGTTCTACATCCGCAAAGCACCATAGGCAATGCACTACCTGCTTGCAAGGTGAAAGGCAAGTCTTCTGTACCTTATTATTTGGGGCGGGACTTAGCTTGGCAAGCTAAGATGTAGCTTCACTGTGTGTTTGGTATGCTTGAAATCCTAACCAGGATTAAGGCAACAGGCCAAACTATGTGTTGATCATGATTGGTATGTCTGCACTGGGCAATGATTGGAAAAATGTAGTATTTCCACTGGCATATTCTTCTGCAATTCTTTAAAAAAAAAAAACGCACACAAAAAACATTTAAATCAATGTGTTCTTTGGAGTAAATTCATCAAATAAACATTTAAAAAACCCACAGCGCACCCAGCTGCTTTTTGCTGTTGCTGGCCATTCTGTCAACACTTGCAGTTCATTACTGAAAAGCACACTTGCGTTTCTAGCAGCCAAACCTGCTCGCTCATTTTTTTTAATCAAGAGGTTCCTGTACATTTCAAAACTGAACCAAAGCTACTTATTATTTTTTAGAAATCTGAATTCAGTATTTAAAAAGTTGTGTAAAAAAAGTGATTTATGCAACACAGGCCATTACCAGAAGAGTAATCTGCCAAAAATCTGTATATGAAAGCCGTATGAAAACAGGGCGCCAAGGAATTCTCAGTGCAAGATTCTAGAACTGCATGCACTAATCTGCTTGGGACTGTCTGATGAGCCACATGCTCATTGGGTGCAGGCACAGGAGCCACATCCTGTAAGTAGCATGCAGGAAGCTGTTCACTAGCTACCGGTATGACACATGGGTCGCTGAATCTACACAGTTGTGAACCTACCAAGTCTATTCTTTACTTTAAAGATCGGTAGCACCAGAGGCTGGAGAGCCCCTTTCCCTAAGTCAGGGGTGGATAATATTTTTTGGGGGGGCTGAGGGCCGCATTAGCTGTTGGGGGCCACATTCCAGCAGATCTATTTGCAGAGGAAGGAGCTGGAATTGCAGACTTTGCACAACATCAAAGGCCTTTTCTCACCCTACAGAGCAGCTGATGGTCAAGAGGGGCCCCACGGGCTGGATGAACTCTGGTTATGAGCTGCATCCAGTCCATGGGGCTAAGATTTTCCATCCCTGCTCTCTGCAGTTCTTGACTAAATCCCACAAGCAAGAGCCTGCACTAAGTGTGGTGAGAATTCTGAATTGCTCCCCCAACTAAACAGAGGTCCCTGAAATGCTTCTGAAACATGTGTGGCATATGCAGTGGCTGCTCAAGAAAAGTCACGCCTAAAACCGCCCTCAAACTCAAAAACAGGTTCCGGGATTCTTTAGATCCCGACCCATTGCTTCCACTCTTATCACAATATCTAACCCAACACTGCTTTGATTGACTCTATTTGGCGTTACAATTTTCACTCTTATGCTTTATGCAGAACTCAAATGCATAAGGTTTCTGACATTGGGCTGCCTCTAACTAAGGTTTACTCAGAGTAGACGCTTTTAAATCAATGGCTGCGACTAACTTCAGTCCTTTCATTTTAATGGGTCTACTCTGCGTACAACCTAGTTGCATCTGTCCAACACATTGACTAGCAAAAGTAGAAGTTGCTTTAGCCTTTTTCATCCCAGCGCACCACCGGCTGCCAAAAACCTGAGACCAGTGCCACAAGTTTCAAGAGCTGTTTGACAAAGAGAACGCTTATACTGACAGAAGAGGGTGCAGCCGAAGGCTGGGATCCAAAGAGTCACCCCTCATCTAGAAAGTGACCACTTATACTGTAACAGGTATATAATATCAGCAATAGAAATACATACTACAAAAATGATCCACACGGTTAATACTCCATGAAGCCCCAATGTGCATACATTGAAAGATAAACTCTTGCTGGAAAAGGCTGTCATATATTTTTTTTTGTACCTGTTATCACAACAGTGACTGTCTAATCATAATTTGCTTCATTACGTTAAGAGGTCTAGACTGCTTTTAAATGTATGTTCAATTCCTGTGCAAATTGCAATGTGGCTAGTCTTCTCAGCGCCGAAGTTAACTACAACTTGATTATAACTGGAAGCATCAGACTATGATTTTCTCTCTCTTTTTTTAGGCATGCTTATTGCTGTAAAAAAAAAAAGCCAATCTTACAAATCATTGTGCAAGTATTTTAATAAGATTTGCACACATCTCAAAAAATTCTATCGTGTGGCTCCCTGATCTTGGGGTTAACTCGGTTGCAGAGGAATCAAGGGAAGAGGTCACCGATGAGGTAAGAGACATATCAGAGGATTTTCCTTGAGCTTCAGTGTCCAAATCCTTCTGACAAGATCTGTAGTTCGTCACAGAGCCTGACCTCTGGGGAGTGGTAGTCCCCGATTTTCCTTCGGTAATTTCATCTGGTGCAAGAAAAGAAAACAATTTAAGAGCCGCAGTGACAAGGCTGTACAATGGCAAATGATGTAGCTGAAGCTGTTACAACACCAAGAAGAAGAAGAAGAAGAAGAAGAAGAAGAAGAAGAAGAAGAAGAAGAAGAAGAAGTAGAAGAAGAAGTAGTGGTGGAGGAGTTTGGATTTGCTACCCCGCTTTATCACTACCAGAAGGAGTCTCAAAGCGGCTAACACCCTCCTTTCCCTTCCTCCCCCACAACAAACACTCTGTGAGGTGAGTGGGGCTGAGAGACTTCAGAGAAGTGTGACTAGCCCAAGGTCACCCAGCAGCTGCATGTGGAGGAGTGGAGACGCGAACCCGGTTCACCAGATTACGAGTCCACCGCTCTTAACCACTACACCACACTGGCTCTCAGTGTGGATTATTATGGTCACAGCTCACCAGCCGAAGCCATTGTGGTTCAGTGGAAGAAGTGCTGACATCTGGTTCTGGAAGTAATCCTATGAACTCAATGGGGCCGTAAAAACTGCCTTGCTGTTCAATCTCCCCCTACCATTCTGTTTCCACTAGTCACCAGCCAGGAAGCTCGCAAGCAATGGTGCTGGCCATTCCATTCATCCCCCAGTACCTGGTCCTTAGAAGTATACCATCTCTAAACCGGAGTCTCTCATACAACTATCATCACTATGATACCCTAGTACTTTTCCTCCATGAAAAGTCATGGCCAGTATTCACCTCCACATGTGGTAACAGTAGAGAATGTGGCGGCACAACTGCTGACAGGCTTGAGGTGAACAGATTGCTTTAATTCTGCATTAATTAACATTATTTTTAATATATTAGTGGCCATGTGATAATTTTAGCTTATAAATTTTATTGTTTAATGTCTTAACTTGTATATTAAGGTACTTTTATAAGCTCTGTTTAGAGTAGGTAATGTCTTAATAATATAAATGTTTTAAGTTTTTTGTATCAATTCAGTATATTTTCTTTTAATTGTTGAATGATTCTGTGTACATTGCGGCAGCCTTTGGCTATGTGCAATAAAACTAAAAGGAAGAAAAGAAAGCTCAAAGCTCTTTACAGCTCAGGACCCCAATTTCTCCTGGAATGCGTCTCCCAGATGCTTACACCAAGGGTAGCTCAGAGGGTAGGGACACTGAGACAGCCTTTTCGGTGGTGGCTCCCCTTCTGTGGAATGCTCTCCCTAGGCATGGTTACCTTTGTTGATATCTTTTCAGCAGCAGGTTAAAATTTATCTCTTTCCCCAGGTTTTTAATAAGAACTAAAATTATGTTGTTTTGTTACTAGTGTGCTGCCAAAGCTTCCTATGGGTCCCACCCCCCGTTTCTGATGGAAAAGTGTATTTATATTTATGTTTTAAATTTGTCGTAAATTGCTTGGAGACCTCCGGGTAAGAAGTAACTATTAAGTCTGAATTAATAATACAGTGATACCTTGGATGTTGAACTTAATCCGTTCAATTCCTGGAACAGTTCAAAAACCAAGGCACGGCTTCCAATTGGTGGCAGGAGCTTCCTGCACTCAATCGGAAGCCGTGGAAGCCCCATCGGGCATTCGTCTTCAGAAAAACGTTCACAAACCAGAACACGAACTTCCGGGTTTGCGGCGTTCAGGAGCCGATTTGTTTGGGAGCCAAGCCGTTCGACAACCAAGGTACCACTGTAATAATAATGAATTAATAGGTTAAACACGCTGCAATAAATCTCATCATGTTTTTAAGCCATCCTCAGATCCCACGTGTGGAATAATAGCGGTTTGCCTCACAGATTTGAGGGCAGGATAAGCACAATAAATGTTTTGCAGCACTTTGGATAAGGAAGAGGTTGCTGGCAAATGATCGACATGACATACCATCAATGCTACGAAAATCCAATAGGTAAGTCCTACTGTCGACCTGGTATAACTGGAGGCTCATTTTGGAATACGTGCCGGTCACTGGATTCTTCCTTCGAACACGCAAGTAGTATGGATTCACCACCTAGGAAACATAAAGGTAATGGTAAAGGGACCCCTGACCATTCAGTCCAGTTGTGGCCAACTCTGCGGTTGAGGCGCTCATCTCGCTTTATTGGCCGAGGGAGCCGGCGTACAGCTTCCGGGTCATGTGGCCAGCATGACTAAGCCGCTTCTGAAGAACCAGAGCAGCACACAGAAATGCCGTTTACCTTCCCGCCGGAATGGTGCCTATTTATCTACTTGCACTTTGACGTGCTTTCGAACTGCTAGGTTGGCAGGAGCAGGGACCAAGCAACGGGAGCTCACCCTGTCATGGGGATTCGAACCACCGACCTTCTGATCGGCAAGTCCTAGGCTCTGTGGTTTAACCCACAGCGCCACCCGCGTCCCACAGGAAACATAGTTGAAAGTTAAAATCCCACCTTTTAAAAAATAAATAAATTAAGGTACTTCCAAAACAGTAATGGATAGGTTGATGCCAATGAAGACAGACATGACAAGTCCACTGAGTTGGGATTCAACCCTAAGCCTATTTTTGTAACTTCCTTTTCGAACCACCGCCTGTTAGCAGAAAGTAATCATCTCACCTTCCACTCGTAATCCAGCTGTTTGATTGCTCGACAGACTTCTGCCATGATGTCGTTGGGTCGACTCTGGCTCCGGATCCCCAAATGCCACTTAGCTCTCCTGACCCCTTGATGTTTGGACTTCTGTGGGTTTAGCTCGTCGAGCGTATGGCGTTGCCTTGGCGTTTCAGCCACTAAAAATGGCACTCTTTCGGGGTGGGGGCGGGAGAAGTGATCGTCGAGAAAGGAATCTGGTGGGCTCGTAGCCAAATAGAAGTCTTTCGCTTCATTCATTATTCTCCTGTTATCTATAATCAGGTGGTAGGCGACCGCTAAAGGATCCTGGTGGTTCCGGTTATACAGGCAGCCCAGCACCTCCTCCTCTGTGCATTCGAATTTATCGCAGACCTCTTTTAAGGCTTCGTCGTCAATCATCGTTGAACTGTAAGACGGGTCCTCGGGAAAGAGGTACTTGGGGAGGTCTTGCTTGAACCATTCGTGTTCCCTAGATGCCAAACGATCCAGTCATTTCAAAAGCTAATTGGTGTATTAGCTAGAAAGCCTTTTATCAACAAAACATTGCAAATACGGATTTTACTTCGACTCAGCAGCTTAAGAACTTTCAGTTCGCACTTTGCAGGTGGAATTTGATGTGGCTCACAGCAGAACGCTGTGATAATTGCTGCAACTGCAGCCAAAGTAGTTATCAGGCTAGGATGTAAGCCTTTTTAGTATTCTCTCCACCCAACACACGCCTTCTAGGTAATGCTTCTTACAGAGTCTAAACATGAGTACTTCTCTTACACTGCAATCCTAACCAAGTCTATTCAAACGGGGCTTATTCCCCATTCTAAGTGGGGCAGCATTGTTGCCTTCTTCTCATATTGAATTGTGTCTGATTGGATTCAATTGAGAGCAGCCCCATTGAAATTAATGGACCTAAGTTAGTCATGTCCAGCAATCTCAGTGGGTCTACTCTTGAGTATGACTGATGTAGGATACAACTTATAATTTCTGACAGATATTTAAAAGTGAAGCTGGAATAAGATACAACACTCTATTCACAACTTGATTTAAAACTGACTTAGTCTTTTCTACATATTTTATAATATGAGTCTATTTTCCTGTTATTTAAAGCTTATTCTCCTGTACTTGAATGGTGGTTGCAAAACGTTTGAATTACAATGAAATCTAAGATAAAAATCAGCATATGATAAAGCTAAATATATGGTAGGGACTTAATACATTACTATAACTAAGAAAAACAATGCAAAAGCAAAGAAATGAATCCTGCAAATACTGTTTTTGAAGCATCAGCGTAGGAAGTTATTCAAACCTCTAGGAAATTAAAATGAAGGTTGTGTTAAATCTATTTTTTAATACACTAGCATAAAAAAATAGAAAAAGGGGCGCGTCCTGGTCTCTATTTTATTTTTTACTCCAAGTGAAAAATACCTTATGTCTCTGACTGTAGCTCTTTTCATGGGATCCACCTGCAGCATGTGTTTCAAAAGGCTAATTACTGCTGGATTCAGGTACTGAGGCGTATAAAAGATACCATCACATATCTTCTTAAAAAGAGTTGGCACATGATCATCATCGAACGGAAGTGTTCCACATAACAAAGCATAGAGAATAACGCCACTGCTCCATATATCCACTTCAGGACCAGCGTATAACCTGAAAAATGAAGCTCATAATTAAATTTTGTTCAGGTAACACATACACAAAGCACTTCTTGATCTGGTTTGTCAGTCATTCAGCAATTAATGGAAAAGACTACACACAGCAGTAAAATTCAATATGCTTTTAACTGTTGCTATAAAATGGACCAAAAAAAGTGTGGTGAACTTTTAGTTAGCCACCATGTCTATGTCAAGAACCTGGTTAGAAGCAAGCCCTGGTTATTCATAACCATGGCTACTATTTGTCTCCCTGCTTTTTCTATAAATGGATGCCTCTGCTGGCATCACAGTGCTAGGAATATCACCCAATACGCTTCCCACTAAGGCAGAATTGATAAAACCAAAACCACATTATGATAATTTAAATTCATATGGCAAAGCCTGAAAACCCTCCTATGATCATAGTCACCTTGGTTCTTAAGACACTGAAATTATTTTCCCAAGCATTCCTCAAATATATGAGTTTATCATCTTCATTAAAGCCAAGCACTTGCATATTTTCAGCAAAGCTGAATGACTAAAATTGGCAAACTGTGTTTTTTTTTAACCACATGGACAAGTTATAGGCAGCGTTAGGATGACTGTATCTAGTTGGACTGCACCAGTTGGACTGCCCTCCTGACAATGGCATGATGAAGGGGACGGTTAGGGCAGTGGCATGGTTGGGTACACCAGTGTCATCAATGAATGGCTCCCATGATGCACCTGTGCATCCCCAACACTACTGCTATCCTGCTCCTACTTCATTCTAATAAGTTGTAGTGATGCCACGGTTTGCAGGACAACTGCATGGAGGATACAAGTTAGCATGCATGCAGCCCCTCCATTTTCCTTTCACATAAACAAGCCAGAAGTCTTGCAGTTAACTGTATTCTCCCAGTTTGGACAAAATGGTTTGTGTAAAAGGGAGAAGTGGAATGGCTGCAAGTGCAGCCAAAGGCTCATATTCAGATCTTGGCTTATGATGATATGACTGTCCAAATGCCAACCCCCCGAGAAAGTCTTATACATAACTAGCATTGAAAGGAACCAAAAGAAGTCACTAAAGTCAGACATTTCAAGTTTCCAAACCTGGAAGTTCAGCAATCTACCTTGCGGCTTTAACACTGAAGAGCAGGGCTTTGTTTTTGACAATACATATTATACATTTATCCAAGAAGAGAAACTACCTTCCTGAAATTACTTCTGGAGCAGCATAGTTAGGAGAACCACAGCTTGTTCTTAAAAATTCTCCATCTGACATCATATTTGAGAGGCCTGAAAATGCACAAAAGTTCAAATGAAGAGGACGAGCCCCAGAACATATATTAAAGCCTCTCACAGTGCTAAAAAAATTATTGGCCTACCCGCACACTGTTACCTGGGCTTATAAATTACAGGCAGAAAAAATAAAATGATGACACCAAACATACAGTAATGTAAAGAAACAGGTTTTATGGTTGTAATCTGAACAGAAATTATACACAACAGGGTAAATGAGTCCCATCCTGCCCCCCAAGCTGAAGTTTTAGGAAAAACTGAATTGGCTATTTTGAGGCTTGCACCAGAATGTGGCAAGACCAAGAATTCTGAAGGGAGTTTAAGAAAACAAAACAGCAGCTGTGTCCCAGAAGATAGGGAGGAAATGTTCCTCTGCATCAGTTTTAAGAACTTGCTAATATAATTAATAAGGAACTCAATCGGCAACTAATGACAAACATATTTTATAGATGTCACATCCAAACTTCAAATCACAGGATGATATCCAGCTACGTGGAGGCCAAACTTGGCCCTCCAGCTGTTTTTGGACTACAACTCCCATCATCCCTAGCTAACAGGACCAGTGGCCAGGGATGATGGGAATTGCAGTCCCCAAACAGCTGGAGGACCACTGATGAGGCAAACCCTGAGTAGACCACTGAAGTCCACTGATTTCAATAAGCCTACTCTGAGAATGACTTCACATTGGACCCATAAAGAGGAAATGCTATTTCATGTACCCTTCACATAAAGAAGAATAGAGATATCATGTTGCTATCATTCATTGCTAAGTCTCCTTCAGCTGACGCACCACCACTTCAGCATGACCCCTCAACCACTTGCAAGCTGTAGCTTATTTTTGTTTTCGCTTCTGCAGGAAGGAAGGGGACATGACTGGGAAGCAAGCTGCAACAGTAGCCACAACCCAGATAACATCATGCTTCTCAAGTGTACATAATTAGATGAAAAGGTACAGCTCTGCTGAGGTGACATGCAATGGTGGCACAGCACAAATTTGCACAATCATCTGTGTAGCACAGCAAAGTGGGGAATCTCTGGCCCACGGGCCAAACCCGGCTCACCAGAGTTTCAAAGTACAGTGGTACCTGGGGTTAAGAACTTAATTCGTTCTGGAGCATAGCTGTCAACTTTCAGATTTGAAAATAAGGGATCAGCAGCGTCAAAAATAATGGATCAGCAGCCTCACCTGTCCTGGGGACAGTCTACGGGATATCTAACAATCCAGGATAGCAGCGGGAAGCAGCGGGAAATGGCGCTGGAAAAAGGGAATTTCCCTCAAAAAAAAAAGGGAAGGTTGACAGCTATGTTCTGGAGGTCTGTCTTAGCCTGAAACTGTTCTTAACCTGAAACACCACTTTAGCTAATGAGGCCTCCTGCTGCCGCCGCGCCGCCGCTGCACGATTTCTGTTCTCATCCTGAAGCAAAGTTCCTAACCTGAGATAATATTTTTGGGTTAGCGGAGTCTGTAACCTGAAGCGTATGTAACCCGAGGTACCACTGTAGCCATTTCCCCAAACCGCAGTCACCCATTCCACACCTTACGTCATATGTGACGCTAGGTATGGGGCAGGTAGAGATGCAGTCGCCAGTTCATAAGTGTGTAGTTCCCAGTTGTACAGTGGCATGGGAAAGCAGGCTTTGGCTCTATTGCCCAGCTGATGGGTGGTAAAGTTGAAGCCTGCCAGATCAGCTGCAAAGGGCATGCAAACTGCTTTGTGCTGGGGTCTCCAAGCCCTCCACAGCCAGCTGGCTGTTGGGCCCTTGGGAACCATTATGCAAGGAGTTTTGGCAGGTTAGCAGGACAACCTAGGTCAATCATCCAACAGCATGATGCTGTTCTGTGATTGGCGGGTGGGTTGTCCTGCCCACCGGTCAAAGTTGGCCTGCAGGGCTGTGGCCAGATAAGGATCTGGCCTGCTGAGCCAAAAAGTTTCCCCACCTCAGCCACAGAAGGACAGCTCATCTCCCCTTAAAGCCAACCACAGGCAAATTACTTACTCTACAGTGGTACCTCGGGTTAAGAACTTAATTCGTTCTGGAGGTCCGTTCTTAACCTGAAACTGTTCTTAACCTGAAGTACCACTTTAGCTAATGGGGCCTCCTGCTGCTGCCGTGCCGCCGGAGCACGATTTCTGTTCTCATCCTGAAGCAAAGTTCTTAACCTGAAGCACTATTTCTGGGTTAGCAGAGTCTGTAACCTGAAGCGTATGTAACCTGAGGTACCACTGTATTTGCAAAGGGCTGGCAGAAGGGGAAGGGCCATATATCAAGCAACAGAGAATATGCTTTGCATGCAGAAGTCTACAAGTTCAGTTTCCGGCCTCTCCGGCAAAAAAGGGGTAGGATATCTGCCTGGGAAAGCCATTGCCAGTGAGAGCAGATACAGCGGGCCACTTGGGCAGCAATCCAGCTTGGGAGAAGGCAGCTCCTTGTGTTAATGCTGTTCTAAACCATACTTAATATTGGAAAGTTAAAACGACATTCTACTTTAAAAATAAGCAAGCAAAGCTGCTTGCTGTCCCAAAGTGTTTGGGCATTGAGATGTAGCAGTCCACCAGAGAGGAAAGATGCGGCAAGATGGTGAACCTCCAATTATACCGTACCTTTGAAATACCTAAATATTTAGCATTTGCACAGCATCTTTCATCAGAGACCTCAGAGCTGTTTACAAGAGCAGGTGCTAAAACACCATGGGAACAAATCCAAGGCCAGGATTACGCAGCCATATATTCAAATTTATATGCCACAAATTATTTGTAAGGACAATCCACAGTGCAGGTATCTGTGGATTTGCTTTCTCTAGACTCAGTTTTTTAAAAGCCAAAGCAGCATACAAATAGCATGGATATATGATATATTTAGGGATTGAGTGGGGCGGGGCAGGCTCTTCTGTCTAGAAAACAGGTTCTTCACTAAAAGGATGGAGTAGGGAGAAGGGACTGCAGGCTGACACCGTGGGCATCTGGTGGTAATGTGCCAACTCACATAGTGAAGCAGGGAAGACGGAGGGTGCAATCCTACACACTTACTGGGAGTAAGGTTACTTCTGAGTAAACATGCATAGGACTGCACTGTTAAGGATGCAATGCTTATGAAGGGTTGCTTGAAATGTCCCCATGGAACTCGTGGGACTTACTACCCAGTTAACAAGCACAGGATTGGGCTGCAAATTCACATTACATAAGCTTGGTCAAAGCAAGTTTTGGCACCGGCTTTGATCCCATATAAACAGAAAAGAAGGCAGAGTAAATAGGATTTAGTAAGACATTTGCTTTTCCTCTTGGGTGGTTTAATCACCAAGATGCATGTTGAGCGTTCAAATTTAAATCCAAAGTAAACAGTTTGCATTTGATTCCAAACAGCGATAGGCAAGTATACAGAATGCACTGCAGTGCTGTTTTTTAATGCCACTGGCTTTCACTAAAGTATATTATACTGAGGTTTTTAAATACAAAATGTGAGCATCATCTGGATGTAGGAGCTAATCTTCCACATCTGTTAGTCTATATAGAATTAAACATTCTGCAGACCAATTTTACCTGGTGAGAGAGACTAATTATTGAGTTGTTGAATCAACATTTGGCATTTTTTTGTTTCGTTCTTATTTGTTTTAGTTACCATTTTTCCTGAAATTTTCAAACAATGTATTTTGTTAATTAAAAAATAATAATGCAAACAGCAGCAGTACTGAGTTAAATATTTCCTAAATTGGCAGAGCCTCGATAGCATTTTTCTGCAGTGTTCCAACAAAAAGAATTGCCCCCCAAAGAAAGAAAATAATCAATGCATTCTAGAAGTTAACAACTACAAAAAAATTGAGGGGCAGACCTTAAGAACCCTTCTTTCTTTTGCTTCCTAAATAGGCAAAGGAACACCTTAGCACCACAAGACTCAGATCTCTGTTTAGTATCAGAGTTCAATGCAAGCACCAGGAACTCAGTACTACATAAATGTTCATTGTACACCAAAAAATAAGAGACATTCATCAAAGGAAACCTACCAAAATCGGCAATCTTGGCATTCATGTGTGCATCAAGCAGTACATTTTCAGGTTTCAAGTCTCTATGCACTACCATATGCCTATGGCAATAATCCACACCAGAAAGGATTTGCTGGAACAGACGTCTACTCTCCTTTTCATCAAGCTAACAAGAGAGGAAGGGAGAGAAAAAAACAAGGAAAGGGATACATTTTTAAACAAACAAACACACACACAAACACACAAGCAAACAAACACACAAACATACTGCAAGACATTTGAGCATTTCCAATTTTTTAATGGCAGAGCATGTCAGCTTTGTGGCATTAGGATGCCAAATATATTCCCTGTTTTGTTTTGTTCAAAAACAGGGTGGGGAGAAAAATGCTGGGGTACAAAAGAAATTGGAAAAGTTAAACAAGTCTTGCTTACTTAGTGGTAGTGGCAAGAGCTAGATTAAGAACTTTGCTGTCTCCAAAAAAAGAGAAAAAAAACCATTTGGTCCTTGAAAAGCGTAGCTGTGTCAAAACCGATGTTTCATGATTCAGAAAACAGCTTCTTAGATGCTTTGTCACGTTGACTTTACTTAATAAGGGTATCTAACATGGTTTAAAATGTCAACACACACACACAAATCCTCAACCTCTCCGACCCACAACTAAACCAAACACTTTTGAAACTGCGACACACTTTTAGCAATGCTAATATGTGATTTTGCTGTTTCCCTAGTGAAGAAGTACAGTAGTGCCTCGCAAGACGAAATTAATTCGTTCCGCGAGTTTTGTCGTCTTGCGAAGCACGGTGTCAGGAAAGTTTTAGAAAAGCTTCAAAAATCACCAAAGTCTTTAAAAACCTCAAAAAAGGCTACCACACCGCGTTCTATGAGTTGCTCCTCGAAGTCAAGTCACAACTGTATTAACGGTGTTAAGAAAAATGAAACAAACTTGCAAGACTGTTTTTAACCTGAGGTACCACTTTAGGTAATGGGGCCTCCTGCTGTCGCCGCGCCTGATTTCTGTTCTCATCCTGAAGCAAAGTTCTTAACCCAAGGTACTATTTCTGGGTTAGCGGAGTCTGTAACCTGAAGCTTCTGTAACCTGAAGCGTCTGTAACTCGAGGTACCACTGTACTGACACCTTTTGACACTGACTAGACCAAGATCAAAGATATCACACAAAGCTTCATCAGACCATACCTGCAGTTCTCATATGAACCAGGGCATCTCGACTGATTGTAGCTCCATGTTGGCAATGAAAACGGATACTTAAAGACCCCCCCATATGAAACCAATGGAAAAGCTCTTGCTCTCACAGGAGCTCAAATAAGCACAAGGAAAACACAATGGAAGCTGTCATATATACGGTCAGACTACTGCCCATCTTGCCCAGGCTTTATCTGCCTGAATATGGCTAGCAGGGTCTCATGGCAAAGGCGGCCTCACACTTCTAACTGGAGATTTCAGGATTTGAACCTGGGACCTTCTGCATGCAAAACATGTACTCTTACCAGTGAGTTACAAGACCAAAGATCAGCCTTGATCCTTGAAGCTACAAGTTAGACTGCCGCCTAGCCAAATGCCTTTTCGTGCCGCTTCTTACCAGTGTGAAACCATTCATCCGTCATACAAATATATCAATAACGAAGGGAAGGAGAAAGTTGCAGACACAGATACATGACTAAGTGTATTCACTGGGAGGAAAAAGAATGCCAGTCATTCTCCTTTCCAGTTCATTGTCCATTATTCTGCATCTGCTTCCAGGAGAATATATACATTGAGAAAATTTACTTTGGAAGGTGATGGGTCTCTCCTTCACTGGATGTTTTTCAACAGAGGTTGGATGGTCATCGGTCTGTGATTAGCTGTGATTTCTGCAATGCAGGGGGTCAAATGCCTTTCTCATGGGGTCCCTTCCAACTGTACAATTCTATGAAAAAGCACTGGCATACAATACTACTACTATTAGAAGAGTGGTGTTAATGATCAGAAGTCCTTATTGTGGATACTTTCTTCGAAAGCTAACCGCAGAAATGGGGGGACGACGACACACCACTGGTATTTGTTTAAATGTATGTGTACATTTTATGCATCCTATCACCCACTACTGCTGATCTACACGGTACCAGAGTTGATGCCATTTCTAAATAAGCCAGAGACTGGGTCCTAGAACTCAAGGTGCGCCGCTCTGCACAAAGACATGGGTCATAAAAGTGATTGTGGGAACGATCTAACTTGGGGTTAGAGAACAGTCCAGTCACTTGCTCTGTTCCATGAACTGTGAAATTGCAATTTTCTAAAACAGAGAAAGTTCATATAAGCAGACTACTCCAATGTGAAGTATACTTTTCGCATACTTCGCTTTGAACGTCTAGTCTGAACCAAGGAACTCACAATTCTGTGCCGCAGCCCACCCAAGGATGAAAAAATATAGGGAGGACTTTGAAAAAACTGGGTAGACTTACCCTTCCATTTTTACAGATGTAATCAAACAGTTCACCTCCTGAAACATATTCCATCACCATGAATATATCGGATGGGGTGCTGATAACTTGGTACCTGAGAAAGAAAATATATTATTTTACTCACTGTACACACTTACTAGAGCCATACAAATTGAGCAGCTTTTCCAATTGAAGGGTGTGTACGGATGAGCAACCAAATAATACATGCGCTTATCTAGAAGTGAAGTTTCATCAGGTTCAATGGAGCTTACTTTCACATTCAGAGTGCAAAGGATTTGCCTCTGGCCTTTCCTTTACACATGCAGCTATCACAGGATTTTCTGAGTCAGTAAAAAATGCAGAGCAGACCTGTGGCACCTGGAGGGAATCTATGGTAGCTTTGATTGATGCCCCAGACTCCTGATAGTCTTTAGTGACTGCTTTGGACTATCCTGGACCAAAGAAAATATGCAGTACTACTGTCTGGAGCTGGGGAAAACATTTCAACCACCAAGTCTATTCTACCACACATCACCCAAGAGGCAGTATGACTTGACTATGGCAAAAGCTTCCATAGCTAGGGACAGCATCAAAACAAGGAGAGGAGATTCTGAGAAAGCAGGTTCTTGATCAACTAGGTTATACCTTGGATGGACCGTGTGTTGTAAAAGGATGAGGCACATAGAAGCAATGCAAATATACCACTCCCGGTGTTTTGAACCATGGTTACAAGATTTTTAAGGGGAACTCAGGATCATGCAATCCATCTCCCTGACCTTTGCCATACCTCACAAGACTCCCTCTGCCTTAACCGTGATGGTGCATTCCATCAGCATTGAGTGTTACTGCTAAAGAAACCCATTCTTAACATTGGGAGCTGTTTCAGATCCTGGTTGCAAACCCTGGTTAAGAGAGAACCCTGGATAAGGCTTGCGGAAGAAACTGGAATCAGAGGAAGGGAAAAGAGGAGTCTTATAGCCCCTGATCTTCTACGGTGTGATCTGCTGCTTGCTGGTTTTCCATTTTAGATTGCACTTTGTCTTGTTTATAGGTTGCACTTTTGTCTTATTTTGTACTGTGCCATTTTTGCGTAAGCCACCTTGTATACATTTGTAGAAAGGTGGGGTATACATTTAATTAAAAATCATGATATTGGCTCCTAAGACCTAATGCAGTTGCAACACAAGCAGGTAGTCAGAAGAGGATACACACCATAATAGGTAGACGTTTAACTGCTTGCCATGGGGCAACTGCATTACCTAGTACTAAAATACACCCCCCCCACACACACACACATATTCAAGCCTTGCTTCCACTGACTTCCCCAAGGGAGTTATTTTCCATCCTTGTTATTGTGCGACTAAAAAAGCCTTCACTCAACGTTTTAGCCAAGTGCCTTCCGGCTCCCTGTGAGTTATAAATGGTTGCTTGCCATGACTGGTTTATAGCACAAAGAAGAAACAAGAATCACACCAGAAAACCTGCCAACATTCATTTTGCCCATTGAACGGGAGAGCTCCATTTCTCAAGGAACACCCAGCGTCAGAGAGATTATTCTTGAATGGAAACATCCGTGAACTTACAGCTTGATTATGTGCGGATGCCGGAAAAGCTTCAGGTTCTGGATCTCTCTGCGGATTTTCCCCACCACATCAAGGCTGCGAATCTTCTGCCTGTTCAAGATCTTCACGGCCACTTTGTGCCCAGTCAGCTCGTGTTTGCCAACTGAAAGATAGATAGATAGATAGATAGATAGAAAGAAAGAAAGAAAGAAAGAAAGAAAGAAAGAAAGAAAGAAAGAAAGAAAGAAAGAAAGAAAGAAAATGTTTAGCCAGGGTTGGCAAATATTTCTTCAAAAAACTCCAGGGATCAAGGGGCTCTCATAGACTACAGTGGTACCTCGGGTTAAGTACTTAATACGTTCCGGAGGTCCATTCTTAACTTGAAACTGTTCTTAACCTGAAGCACCACTTTAGCTAATGGGGCCTCCTGCTGCTGCCATGCTGCTGCCATGCGATTTCTGTTCTCATCCTGAAGCAAAGTTCTTAACCTGAGGTACTATTTCTGGGTTAGCGGAGTCTGTAACCTGAATCGTATGTAACCTGAAGCGTATGTAACCCGAGGTACCACTGTATTTCATTGATGCTGTATCAGGTGCCTTTACCCTAAAAGAGTTTGGGGGGGAGGGGACTTCTTTCAGATGACTTCACCTGAACAAAGGCAAGCAACACTGGTTACTTCTGCAGGAATTATTCAGCAGGACACACCTTACTTCCTGATCATTCACACACAGTTCTGCTTATTTACTATATACTGCTTTCCAGACAAAAGAAGAAGAAAAATGACCCGGCAAGTGAGAATTGCTGCCAATCAATCAAGCAGAGAAGCTTTTGTAAACATCAAGAGGGTGGAGTGATAATGCAAAAACAAAACAAAATCAAAAACCAAATAGAAGGCACCTGTGGGAAAAGATGGGATCATAAAACAAAAGACTTTTGTGGGACAGTAACTTGCACAGACTTGGCTGCAAGACTTTCGGAGGAGCAATTTTTAAAAGGGCAAGAGAATGTACCTTGCAAACAGGGTCACAAGACAGTCTATGGTTGAAACTAGCAACAGTTTTGTGTTGTTATGGGAGAGGTGCAGAGGGTCGTAAATTTCATTGCTGTGAAAGGAGGTGATTGGAGGCGGTATAGTTGCACAGTTGCCCCATTCAGGACAAGGGAAGTCTCCCACACCTGCCCGCCCCCTGTCCCCCCAAAAGAGTACTTCTGTCTTGTCAGGATTCAACCGCAATCGGTTAGCCGCCATCCATCCTCCAACTGCCTCCAGACATTCACACAGGACATGCACCGCCTTCACTGGTTCTGATTTGCAAGAGGAGGGTATCATCCGCATATTGATGAACACCCAACCCAAACCCCCTGATGATCTCTCCCAGCGGCTGCATATAGATGTTGAAAAGCATGGGGGAGAGGACAGAACCCTGAGGCACCCCACAAGTGAGAGCCCAGGGGTCTGAACACTCATTCCCCACCACCACTTTGTGGGCACGGCAGAAGAGAATGGAGAGGAACCACTGTATAACAGTGCGCCCAGCTCCAATCAAAAGCATTGTCTGACTAACACAACAGTTAAGATGTCTGGAGGCAGTAACAAGTTAGGAAATGGAAAACGGTCCAGAAAAACCCAACACAGAAACATTTAAAAGAATTGTAAAACGTGAAGCTTAGTTAAAGGGAAGCAAAGGAGTAGATGCTAAAAAGGTCAAATCCATTCAAGAAACCTGGGAGTTATTTAATCCTCAGTACAGTAGTGCCCCGCAAGACGAATGCCTCGCAAGACGAAAAACCCGCAAGACGAAAGGGTTTTCCGTCGCGGAGGCGCTTTGCAAGACGAAGTTCCCTATGGGCTTGCTTCGCAAGACGAAAACGTCTTGCGAGTCTCGCCATTTTTTCCACTTTTTTCCCCTTTTTTCAAAGGGGCTAAGCTGTTAATAGCCTTTTAACAGCTTAGCCGCTAAGCCCGCTAATAGCGCTAAATCGCTAATAGCGCTAATCCGCTTAGCCGCCAATGGGGTTGCTTCGCAAGACGAAAAAACCGCTAGACGAAGAGAATCGTGGAACGGATTCTTTTCGTCTTGCGAGGCACCACTGTAGTTAAACGAAGCACATTACTAGCTGAACACTGGCCAGTTCTCATGTAACTCTAAGCCAAACCATGGCTTTCCTTGCTTGTGCTAACGTGCAGGTTCTTGGAGCTAAGATCAGAGCACTTGAGCTCTTCCCTCAGTCCTGATCCTGCTGCGCTACCCAGTCCTAAATTATGGCTTGACATAACCTAATGCCTATACCAGGATTTGATGTTTGTCTTGCTGCAGACAAACCATGAGTGGCAAACCAGTAACAAACCTTGGTTAAACTGTATGGTTTCTCTGCAGCAAGCAAACCACAGGCCCAGGTTCAGATGTACCACAACCCCAAGCCATGGTTTAGCCCCGGGTAGTATAGTAGGACCAAGGGAAGACACAGCAATCATGATCTTTGCTCTGGAAATCCATTGTTTGCTTGCTTGTGCTAAGGCATAGTTTGGTTTGCACATAATGCTAAGCCAAAGTCTGTGCCAAATGAAAAACACAGTGTACCAAGGAGAAAGATACTGTGGTCTTAATGACTCAGAGAAAACAGTGCACTATTCAAAGGTACTGAAATCTATTATTGCTTTTTTCCTTTTAATGTTTGACCACTTATTTTGCTTAGACAGGAGTTCTGTGAAACAAAAAAGCTTCCAGCACATTTTGAAACACTTAGTTCATTAAGAGATGACACTGCCCCTCTTTTAGGATGGTGGTTCTGTTAATAATTTACCATCAATTAACACATCTTCACACAGGGAGGTAAGCCAAACAATCTAGATGTTTAACTATGTTATGTCCCGGAATATGTAGGCAACCTCCCAGTGAGGTTTTAATGCCTGTTCCTGGTTTCAGCTTACCTTCAGTATATGTTTTGCTACAGAGCCAGCAGGTGTGCGCAGGGAGTCTCTACGACACAGCATCGTGCGGCAAACAATTACAATGGAGCATGAGAAAGAAACTGTGAAGCGTTCACATCACAACAACACTGGAGGGTTGTGGCCCAGTAATAAGAGCACATGATTTCCATGCAAAAGGGCTCTGTGTTCAATCCCTGGCATTTACTATGAAAAATACCTTAGTTAGTAGGTGCTGGGAAAGACCTCTGGAGAGCCACTCCCCATCAGAGGGGTCCCCAGACTTTGGGGGCCTCAGGCACATTTGGAAATCTAAGGTACTGTTGTGGGTATACAAAATACCCATTTCCCAAAAGCAATACTGGTGATGCTGTGAAACCACCACCCCACACCCCAAACAATGGCAAAACCTACACACTCCAAAACCAACAGAAGGCAACCCACCAACAAACAACTCAAAAATGCACCAAAAACCCAATCTTCAGTTTATTTATTTTTGAAGGGACAGGTGACCAAGAGGGTGTCTGAAGGTGCTGTGATACCACAACTGAGATCTCAGGAGACCGCAATGCTGAGTTACAAGGAGAGATTCATTCACATGTCACAGTAAGCCATAATTATATGTTGCAGAGGTAATGAACCATCTTACCGGAACTTTTTCTCTCCTCTGTGCTAACTGTGTTATGTGCAGGATTACGGTTTGTTTTGCTCCAACGAACCACAATTGGTAAAGTCACTAGTGGCAAAAGATTTAGATGCAATGCAAAGCCAGGGATTGTGGTTTGTTTCTTACTGGAGTGAATAGGAAGGAAGATTTGTTTGTGCACAGCAAACTATGGTTTATGGCTTACCATGACATGCAAAAAATGGTCTGAGGCAGGTTGGTACATTCAGCACCTATATAAAATATGCTTTCAGTGTGGAGAGTTAAGGTGAGGAAGCAGAGTATTTTCAGCAAGTGGCGCCATTGCTGTGTTAAGTTCTTAAATAAATTCATCATGTTAGCTCTTCTTTCCCTTTGAAAAACCTTTTTATTCCCAGTTACAGATAGGTAGCCGTGTTGGTCTGCCATAGTCAAAACAAAAAAAAATCCTTCCAGTAGCACCTTAAAGACCAACTAAGTTAGTTCTTGGTATGAGCTTTCGTGTGCATGCACACTTCTTCAGATCTTCTTCAGTATCTGAAGAAGTGTGCATGCACACGAAAGCTCATACCAAGAACTAACTTAGTTGGTCTTTAAGGTGCTACTGGAAGGAATTTTTTTTCTTTTTATTCCCAGAAACTTTTGAGAAATCTTATTACCCATGATTAATATAATTTTTGAGGGTTTTAGCATTTTGCCTGTAATGATTAACACCCAAAGTTGTGTTTTACTGCACACACACACACACACACACACACGCCCTGGGAGTTCTGGGGAGCAACTGTAGCAGGAACATAAGTGTGCAAGCATGAGAGAGAGAGAGAGAGAGAGAGAGAGAGAGAGAGAGAGAGACACGCACTGATGCCTTTCGGATTAATTTTCCCTCTATATAAAACCCTGTATCATGTAGGAAAGCAACTGCTCCAAAGCTTACCCACATTTGGCAAACACTCAAAGAACAAACAGGTTCTACCTGAAGTACTGTGGTTTTCAAGGACACACAGAACAAGCTACTTGGATGTGCTTGTTTTCCATTGAATTCAATGTTTCAAACAGGGGATAGGGTTCCTGCTGATTTCAATGGAAGATAAGGTTCACCTAACTTTCGGTACCTATTCAACATGTTGGAAGTCTCCCCAAAACATCCAATGTGCAGCATCGCCCCCCAACCCCCAGATATCGCTGGGTTCTATTCAACCCCAAAACCTATTTGATAAATATTCTACTAGAAAAGAATGGCTACAATCAATTCTGAACAACCTGATGTAAGATTGCTATGTGTCCAGCAGGTGCCTTCTCTGACTGACAGCAACCCTCCAGGATCTCAGTCAAGAGATTTTTTATATCAACACTTGCCTCCGCCACCCTTAGCATGGTATCCTCCAAATGTTTTGGATGAAAACTCCCATTATCCCTGACCTTTGACCATGCTGGCTGGGGCTGATGGAGGCTATCATCCAAAATATTAGGAGGCTGAGCTACCCGGTCCCTTTTTAGCCAAAGATACTAGGGATTGAAGGTGAGACATTCTGCATGCACAGCATATGCTCCATGGTTGTGCTATGGCCCTTCCTAATAATAATAATAATAA